GTATATATCCAGAAAACCAAAAATCACTATATAACAAAGATATTTCTACCAGAACGTTTATTGCAGCCCAATTCATAATTGCTAAGTTATGGAAGAAGCCCAAGTGCCCATCGACCCACAAATGGATTAATAAATTGTGGCATACCTACACCATGGAGTACTATGCAGCTTTAAATAAAGATGGAGAATTTACCTCTTTTGTGTTTACATGGCTGGAGCTGGAACATATTCTTCTTAGCAAAGTATCTCAAGAATGGAAGAAAAAGCATCCAATGTACTCAGCCCTACTTTGAAACCAATTTATAGCATTTATAGAAAAGCTATAACTCAATTATAGCCCAAGAATATGGAGGAAGAGGAGAGGGAGGTGAGGGGATGGGAGAAGGATGGGTGGAGGGAGGGTAATTGGTGGGACCACACCTACTGTGCATCTTACATGTACATGTGAAATTTAATATAGAATATAAATGTCTTAACAGAATAACTAAGAAAATACCATGAAGGTTATGTTAACCAGTTTGATGAAAATATTTCAAATTTTATATAAAACCAGCAAATTGTACCCCATGATTGCATTAACATACACAGCTATGATTTAATAAATAGAATGACAGATATAAATTTTAGTGATTCCTTTTTCCTGCAATAAACTTGAACTTACATTCATTTTATTTATTTTATTTATTTATTCTTTTAATTATTCTTTTTTTTCATTTTGTCATCCTCAGTAGATTGCCGTGGCATTGTAGCCCACAGCAACCTCAGATTCTTGGGCTCAAGCAATTCTCTTGCCTCAGCCTCCATAATAGTTGGTACTACAGGCACCCACCACAACATCCGGATATATAAATTTTTTTTCTCAGTCTAACTATGTCGCCCTCGGTAGAGCATTATGACCATCACAGCTCACAACAACCTCAAACTCTTGGGCTTAAGTGATTCTTTTGCCTCAGTCTCCCAGGTAGCTAGAACTACAGGTGCCTGCCACAATGCCCGGCTGTTTTTTTCTTGTTGTTTTTGTCATTGTTGTTTAGCAGGCCAGGGCTAGGCTAGAACCCACCAGCCCAGGAGCATGTGGCTGGCGCCATAACCACTGAGAAATGCACACTCAGTTGCTTATGATCATTTTAATAAATATGAGGGGCTCGCTAGTAATTTGCTTCCTACACATGTAAATTTAGCACTTTAT